TGGAATCGAAACCTTTGATTTCCTTAAGGAAGTCACAGTGAATGCTACCAGAGAACCATGTAAATTTACTCTAATCAAGGATCAGAACTGGAAAGTTAATACGCCAAGCAGGGCTCATACAGGGCTCTTACCGCAAAACTGAATCAACTTCAAATACAATACCACACCTACGAAGACAAATTTGATAGGCCAATTAGAGTTGTAGCGAGAGGACTTGATTCGTCATGTAAGGAAAAGGACATACTTGAAGACTTTTTAATGTAAGGTTTCAACGCTGTAAGTGCGATAAATTTGATAAAAAGAGATACTATCACAAACCAAGATGGCTCCAGAATAGTTAGAAGAATTAAAATGCCACTGTTCACTTTAACATTCAGCAAAGAAAATTATGTGAAAAAAATCTACAGCATTACCTCGGTATGGGCATAAAAGTCAAAATAGAACCTACTCGCAAAAAGGTCAGCAGAATTGTTCAATGTACAAGATGTCAAGCGTTCAATCATACCCAACGGTACTGCAACATAAATTATAATTGTGTCAAATGTGCTCAGAACCATCCCTCTGATCAATGCGAAATAAATAAAAGCGTTCCTGCTACATGTGTCAACTGTCGGGGCGAGCATCCCGCAAGCTATAGGGGTTGCCCGTTCGCAAAAGATCAACAGAAAAGGAGACTCAAGCTGTTATCTGAAAAAAACTTTCCTTCGCATCAAGAAAAAAAGGCAAAAAGTGCTTCAGAAGACAAGGTTAAAAATACTAAGGACGTCATAAAAAGCATCCCAAGTCATAGCAAAGATATTGAAAATACATATTCGGATATTGTTAAGAATCATAGGAAAAATGAAGAAGACTCGATCAAGGTGCTGTTGAATTATATTATTAGAAGGCTGGACGAGCAGGAAAAGTCCTATGAAAAAATTATCTATGAAATAAGCAAGCCAAGACATCTCCAACTTAAGAATAAGCATAAATAATGACTCGTCCCTTACGTATAACTACATGGAATGCAAACGGACTATTATCCCGCCTAAAAGAACTAGAAATATTACTTAACTACTACAATATTGACATCTGCTTAATACCCGAGGCACATCTTACTAACCAGTCATATGTTAATATTCGTAATTTTAACTTCTACTTTACTTCCCTTCCAAACGACGTTGCACATGGAGGTACAGCAATCTTTGTCAAGGAAAATCTATTGTCGTATGAAGATTACAAAATCGAAACATCAAGTATCCAACTCACAACAATCTGTATCCAAACTAAAAATAAAAATAGAATATTCAAGGTATCTGCTATTTACTGTCGACCTGGCTTTTCCATTCAGAAGGAACAGTTTGTAGATATATTTAGTCATCTTGATAACGATTTCATAATTGGTGGCGACTTCAACGCTAAGCACAATTTCTGGGGTTCGAGACTGGTAACTCCTAGGGGCAGAGCCCTTTTTAACGCTGCAAGAGAAAAAAATTGTGATTTCCTATCAACACGCTCCCCAACATATTGGCCATCTGATCCAAACAAAATACCTGACTTTTTGGACTATTTTGTCTCTAAAGGAATCAATAGCAACTTCTTGGAAATTAAATCACATTTCGACTTAAATTCTGATCACACTCCAGTAACACTGAGTATTAGTGACAACTTTATTGAAAAGGAAACTGCTCCCCGATTGATAAATAAAAAAACCGACTGGGAGGTATTCAAGGAAAAACTAATATTTTTCTCACTGCCTGGGCACGCAATTCTAACATGCGCACAACTTGACAAAGAGGTCGAGCAACTTAAGGCGGATATACAGCAAGCTGCACTCGAAAGTACCCCTGCAATTAAGTCAAAGAACGTGCAAAAGAGTTATCCTTCTGAAATTGTATAGTTAATTAAAGAAAAAAGAAAGGCTAGGAAAAAGTGGCAAATCACTAGATATCTAGGTGACAAAACAAAAGTTAATCAATTAAACAACAAATTAAGAAAGATGGTTACTGAATTTAAAAACGAGTCCATCAGAAAGTATCTAAGCGAACTGGATAACGATAAAGAAACAGATTACTCACTATGGAAGGCAACCTAAAAAATTCGGCGTGCGCCAATTAAAAAACCAAACGGCCAGTGGGCGAAAACTGAGAAGGAAAAAGCTGATATCTTTGCTCTTCACTTGAAGAGTGTGTTTAAACCCTTCCCTAAGTTGAGTGATGAGGAAGATACCAGTTATATTAATAAAAACGACGTGGTAGAAGTTCCGTTAACAACATTAGCCGAGTTCAAATCTGAAATTAATAACATCAGTAACAAAAAATCTCCGGGCTTCGATCTCATCACTGGTGAAATCATGAAGAACCTACCCCACATCGCGTTATTGAAATTCAAAGAAATTATAAACTCCTGCTTTAAGTTAATGTACGTTCCTAGAATATGGAAAATTGCAGAAATCATAGTAATATTAAAAACGGGCAAATCCCCTATTGACGTCTCGTCGTACAGACCTATATCGCTGCTGCCAATTATGTCAAAAATCTTTGAAAAACTGTTGTACAGAAGATTAGCTCCCACTATTCAACATCGAAATCTAATACCTTCACATCAATTTGGATTTCGGGATGGTCATATGAATATTCAGCAAGTACATCGGGTAACCAATGAAATTGAATCAGCTCTCGAAGCAAAACAAGTTTGTACTGGAGTCTTTCTTGACGTGTCGCAAGCCTTCGATAAGGTCTGGCTGGAAGGCCTGAAATTCAAAATTCATCGTGATCTCCCATTTCAGTATTACGAAATACTAAACTCATACTTGACGAACAGAGAATTCCGTGTAAGATATGGCGGGAAGTATTCTGAATTAGAAAACATAAGTGCTGGTGTTCCACAGGGCAGCGTCCTTGGTCCTTTACTATACTCTTTATACACGAGAGACTTATCTGTGGGGAGGTCAGGTCACCACAGCCACATTTGCGGACGATACCGCACTGCTAGCAGTAGCTGACAATGTCAATTCATCAACTGAAAAGGCACAAGCTGCAGTGGATGACGTTGTACGCTGGGCAAATAAATGGCGCATAAAACTGAATGAGTCTAAATCCGCACATGTGAACTTCACAAACAAAAACATTTCAACACTCCCGATCACAATAGATTCTAAAACAATACCATATTCGAATTCTGCAAAATATCTGGGTATGACTCTGGATGCGAAGTTAAGATGGAAAGAGCACATAAAAATGAAAAAGGAGCAACTAAATATAAAATCAAGAAAACTAAATTGGCTGTTGGGCAGTAATTCCGAACTGTCTATCCACAATAAAATCCTTATTTATAAACAGGTGCTAAAACCAATATGGATTTACGGAATCCAACTCTGGGGTTGTGCGAAAAAAACTAATGTGGAAATTATTCAAAGATTTCAAAACAAGATCCTTAGGCAGATTGTTGGCGCACCATGGTATGTTCGCAATAAAGACCTACATTGGGACCTTAAAATTAGTAGTGTTGAGAGTGAAATCAAAAGATTTGCCTCTAAACATGAAGAAAGACTAACGAAACATCAAAATGAGGAAGCGAAGAAACTGATACTCACTGGCAATGAAGTACGCCGCTTAAAAAGGACGAAGCCACATGAACTGGCTCATCAATAGTTTATAAGTCGTTATATATTTATTAGAGATAAAGGTTTCCTAGTCAAAAAGTATATTTTGGTCCGAACATAAAAAAAAAGGTTTAACGAAATAAATAGCGAAAATAAGAGAAAATGACCGAGATGGCAAAAAGAAAGAATAACTTTGACAAAAAACACTCGAAAGGCAATAAAAATGAAATTAAATTGAAATAAAATAAAAATGAAAACAAAAATGACGTAAACAAATTATAACAAAATATGTATATAAAAAATTATCAAGTATTAAACAAAAATAAAGAATTTCATTAGAAGAGAAAAAAATCAAAGAAAAATACCACTACTATTATAAAAAAGATGACATGCCAAACAACATAGACTTACGAAAAAAATGAATCCAGAAAATATTCAATAAACAAAAATGAATACAAAAAAAAATTATAAAATGTTGACACAAAATAATAAAATTAAATTTCTATTAAAATCACAAATAATAATAAAAACAAACTTGAAATTAAGTCTAATTAAAATTCAACGATAAAATAAAACGATAAGATTAACAACCAATTAAAAAAGATAAAAAGAAAAATTTTTATTTATGTACATACATATATTAATATAATCTACAATTTATCGCCACGAAACTCAAAACATATTAATATGATGAAGGTGCAATAAAGATAAAGGTCAATATGATAAAGGTACCGAAAAAATCAATCACATATATGTAGGTCTGTCTGGTATAAGATAGTTTTTAAAAACTTTATGAAGTTTTTGCATGCAAAGCGTCTAGGATGCCGTTGAAAAATTTCAAAAGATGCAAAAAAAGGGCAATTTCCAAAAAAAATGCAAAATTCTACTTTTGCAATAACTTTGTGAAATTAAACCGAGCTAAATAAAATATTAATATTGTTTTTATTTTAATTGTTTGCAAGAAAATATAATGCAATTATTTTCAGAAAAATTTTATTTTCAAAAAATTATTCAAAGACTTTCACCCACTTTCTGCAAGACGTATGACGAGACGCGATAGGATATTCTTCAAGTTTTGTTTTCAGTATAGAATGTCACATTTTCTTTATTTTTTTTCAAAATTTACTTTATTTGTTTCAAAAATCTGACTTTGCTCTAAAAACTAATAAACTTTTGAAGAACATTCTATATCGTAAAATAACTTACAATTTACTTTGCCTTTTTCTATTTATAAAAGAACTTTAGTTTTGGAAAGTCAGCCAGCCAGGTACATATTAAATTAAATCAAAACTCAAATTAAAAATGGCTCGTAAAACTCGTAAGTCATAATCATAAATATAATATAGATCGTGTAAACAATACAGTATTAAAGCGAAATATAACGCGTCGCTTATGTTGATATACTCTTTTGAAAACTTATTTATGAGAATCGCAAAAATCAGTTTTGTAATATTTGTTAGGTAAATATAATAGTATAATTTTTTCTTGAGATTAAGAAAAAAGGTGCACAAACTGTCTGGAATAATACTTTTTAACGAAATTGTGAGAAAATGATAAGATTCTCATTATCTCAATTTTTAAAGTTTTTTCAAATCTTGTAAAGTAAAATTTAATGTTTTAAAAACTTTTTAAATCTTGCAGAAACATTTGTTTTTCTTGGTTATATCAGAAGGTTTTATTTTTGAAAAAAAAAAAAATTTTACATCAACACTAACTGTTATTTCAAAACTTTTCAATTAAAAATAAGATAAAATAAACAAAATGAATTTGCAAGTGGTTTTTTCTAAGTTTCACACTTTTGTAATTCAAAATCAATATTTTCGGTTTTCGGTATAACCTAAAAATATTTATTTATGTTTGATATAAATATTTTGAAATTTGACGCTTATCACCTATTTATAAAGTTTTTAAAATTTTTTTCAAGTTTTCTGTCTGGTTTTTTTTTTAAGTGAGAATTTATTTTCTTTTTGAGAAAAGTTTCACCATTGTTTCTCTTTTTAAAGTTTCCAAGTTTTATCCCAGACAGACCTGTTATAAAATACTCGTATTTCAAAATTACACAATTTTTAAATAATTGAAAAAAATTATTTTATGTGGAAATTTTTGTTGAAATGGTAATTATGGTTGTAAGGAACAGATGTTTTCGGCCGTGGAATGAAATTCCAATCCGAAATCGAACTGCTATCAGATTTAACTTTTTTTTCTTTATATAATATTTACCTTTTTTTCAAAAATCAGGGAGCAGTTAGCTCCTTTGTTTTTCTTTTTAGAAACACTGATAAAAATCAAAATTTTCATCAACATTGGTTTTTGACAAATAAACGTTTTGTTTACTTTTGTAGAATGTTGAATATGTACATACTCTATTTGTTCATAGGCATAGATACAACAAATTTTTTTTTCAAAATAAATTGTGATTTGAATTTTTGAGTTGAAGAAATTGAATCATTAATTTTAACTTGAGCTAAGCTAATTTTATTTAAATATTATCATTAAAACATGGATCTGCCTTTAATAAAAAATATTAAAGAAGATTTTTTAGAAGAAACCGTCATATCTCACATAAAAACAGTTGGATATGAATCGAAATATATTGAGAACAATAACTGTGGAAAAGGAGCAAAAATTTTTAACGAAAAATCTTCCAGTAATGCGAAGGTTATTCATAATAATCCCTATCAAATTAATGATGCTTTTAAAAATAAATCGTTTAGTCCGAAAAAAAAATTGGAATGTACAAATCACATCAAAACTAAAAACATTTTCGAATATGGCAACTATAGCCGATATTATGGATATCGTAATGCGAAAAATTTCCAGGATATCAGGTTAGAAGCTTTTTCTAAATATAAAAACCTTTTTGAAGGAAAAGAAGTGTTAGACATAGGGTGTAACAGCGGCTTAATAACAATGCAAATAGCGGAGGACCATCAAAAATTTAATGTTAAACATATAGTAGGACTTGATATAGATAAAAAGTTGATTAATAGAGCCATCAAGATAATTGAAAAGAAACGTAGGAACACTAAAAATAAAGCAGAAGATAAATCAAAATTTCCATTCAATATTAAGTTTGTGTTTGGAAACTATGTGCTAAAAGATGATATTCTTTTGGAAATTGAAAAGCAACAATTCGATCTAATCCTTTGCCTATCTGTTACTAAATGGATTCATCTAAATTTTGGGGACGAAGGCTTAAAACAAGCATTTCGAAGAATGTATCTTCAAATTCGTCCAGGGGGTTGCCTAATATTGGAGCCTCAACCTTGGAGTAGCTATAACCGAAGGAAGAATTTAACAGTAAATTATAAAAACAATATTTTTGTTTATCATAAATATAAATTGAAATATTTTTCTAATTTTGCAGCCCGAAATTCATGAAAAATACAAAAATATAACTTTTTTTCCTGAAAAGTTTGTCGATTACTTAACTGGGCCTGAAGTTAAGTTTAGTGAATTTTCAACTATAAATATTCCTGAGCATCCAAGCAAGGGATTTAGAAGACCTTTGCAATTATTTTTTAAAAAATGAATTTATTTTATATATGTAGGTATATTAAAAAAATAAGCTAAAGCTCAATATTTTAGTGTTTCATTTGATTTCTGATATCATTTCTTGATTTTTTAAAGCCTTTATTATATTTGTAGCTGTTATTTTAGACATTTCAATTCTTGTGTTTATGTCTGCACTTCCAATATGAGGTAAAATTAAGCAATTTTTCAATGTAAGCAAAGGATCATCTAGTGGTAGAGGTTCTGGGGTTGTTACATCCAAACCTGCGCCCCAAATTCTTTTTTCTTTTAATGCTTGATAAAGAGATTTTTGATCAACCAAACCACCTCTCGATGTGTTTATAAATATGCAATTTGGCTTCATTCTTTGGAAGGCTTCATAATTAAAAATTTCTTTGGTTTCTGGAGTCAGAGCACAGCAAACTATGATTACATCGGATGTTTTTAATAAATCATTAAAATTCACAAAGGAAGCTCCAACTTCCGATGCTTCTTTTGGCTTTTCTGATCTGTTAAAATAGACAATTTTTTTCGGTTTGAAAGGAACACATCTTTTTGCTACTTCTTGACCGATTCTCCCATATCCAAAAATTCCAATTACGGATCCTTTCAAACCTGGACCACACATCCAACTTGGAGACCACGAACTCCAACCACCATTAAAAACCTCTTTATTAGCTTCAAACAGCCTTCTGTTTGTTGCTAATAACAGTGCCATTGTTAATTCTGCAGTGGCATCTGTTAACACGTCAGGAGTATAACCAATTCTTATATTACGTTTCTTACATTCAGAAATATCAATATGGTCATATCCAACAGATATTGTTGCCACCACTTTCAATTCAGGTCCAGCCATGTCTAATAATTCTGCGTCAATCTTATCTGTTAGAGTACAAAAAATGCCATTTTTTCCTACGACGCTTTTAAGAAACTCTTCTCTAGGCATAGGACTAGGTAATGACCATGTTGTTACATCAAACCTTTCCAATAAGGTAAATATAAGTACGTATTATATGTATGTATATATTCCTTGTAATTTTCAGTATTACAAAAACTTACTCCTTTTTTAATAATTCAATCCCAATGCTAGCAACATCCGGACGTGTAACAAGTACTTTTGGAAGATTATTGGTTTCCGACATCATTAATCTACTACTCTTTTTGAACACTTTTGCTTTAACTGCCTGCCTGTAAATCTGTGAAGTCAAATTCGCAAACATTGCTAATTGTTTTGATACTTTAACTTGACAAATTTTTTTGACAACTTCTAAATTTATTTCGTCAGAAATATTAAAAACGTTAATCAAAGGTATTTCGATAACAGATTCTTTACATAATCACACTAATCACAGTCGAATCGTCAAGCTTTTGCATTACTGAAGAACTTTAATACAGTATTGTATTTTATTATCTTGTCAAATTTAATAAAAAATCATGTTCATGTTTCATCTCAAAGTTCTGACTGAATACAATAGTTAGACTAAACATAAATTAATCTGAAATTTAGTTTTTTCCCAAAAATATTTTTAGACAATAGCAATAAGGAAAACAAATTGCATTGTAGCTCATGAGACTAATTCCCAAAAATTTGGCACAAATACAAAATTTTTCAATATACGAGTATAGCTTCCCTTTAATAAAATTGTAATAACTTTTAAGGTGTTATAAATACAATTTTAAGGTTAAAATTGTAAAAATTTTTCTGAAATGTAGTTACATACATTTACTTAAATACTTATGTTGATGTTATCAATTTTTAACATCAATGACTCATGTACTTATGTTCATAGTAGGAACTGTACAAATCTCATTATATTAAATTCAAAAGATTTATGTATGCTAAGATATGTAATGTATTTTTCATATCCGATCCAACAATATTCATTGTAGTTGGTTTGAAACGTGCTTGAATCATAAAATATTAAAATTAGATAAAAATTTGTATGTACCTACATAACAATATACCGATGATAGATGAAAGCTAAGTAGGTAATTTTGATTAATTCAAACTAGAACAAATTTTTAATTTAAAAACTGAAAATTTAAAAAAACATTAAATATCTCAAAAGTTTTTTCTCTATGCGTTACATCATCTTTTACAACTTTGCTTGCTTCAACAGCGCCCAATGTATCCCCCATTCCTATCCACATCCATGCGATTTTTTTTCTAAAAACCTCGAACGAATTAACCCCCGAGAGTTTTGGACTTGCACCAGACCACCCTTCACTTACTTATTTGAAATGTTAAAAAATTGTGAATTGGTAATTTCGACCGTTAACGATTTGAATGTTATATGTAGATATTAACAGACAAATAATAGGTCTGTCTGGGATAAGAACGTTTTTAAAAACTTTTAAAAATTTTATAAAGTTTTTTCATGCAACTGTCTGGGACAATACTTTTTGAACAAAAATGAGAGAAAATGATGACATTCTCAATTTTTCAATGTGTAAAGTTTTTTCAAGTTTTGTGAAGTAAAATTTAGTGTTTTAAAAACTTTTCTTACCAAAAAGCTACATCTGTTGAAACATATTCTTCTCTATTATACCTGAAGGTTTTATTTCATTTCAATTAAAAATACATGGTACATTTCAAATACGATAAATACAGGTTACATTGCTATTAAAAATAAATTAAAATAACTTAAAAGGGTTCACAAATGATTTTTTCTAAGTTTCACACTTTTATAATCCAAAATCAAAATTTTCGGTTTTTGATATTACCAAAAAATATTTGTTTATGTTTGATGAATACTTTGAAATTTGACGTTTATCACCTATTTATAACGTTTTTAAAAGTTTTCTGTCTGGTTTTTTTATTTTTTAAGTGAGAATTTTTTTTCTTTTTGAGAGAAATTTCGCCATTTTTTTTCATTTAAAAGTTTTTGGAAGTTTTATTCCAGACAGCCCTAGTATATAGATAATATTACTAATGTCTTTATATCTAACAAGTCCCAATGCTCAGAGAGAAACTTGAAAGCACGACCTTATTTTATATGGGTTTTTTTAAATCGAAGTGGCTATTTTTTGAGAAGAAATATTGAAATAAATTTACACTTATTATAAAGCAGGTAAAATACTAAAAATATATTTGAAAAATCAAGAAAATATATTAATATTTTCATTCAGAATTATTTTAAAATTATTGAAACAGCAGAAAAACAACAAGCACAACCTTCGCCTTCAACATTTTATATGTTACTGAAAGCATTTCATTAATTTTAAGTGAACAGCTTGTTTTCTCATAGGGTAAGTTAACTCAAGATATGGGAAGTAACTATGGTGTCAAGTTGAAAATATAATTAATAAAAGAAAATTATTAAATTAAATTAATAAATTAAATTATTAAATTATTAAATATTGATATAAATCAGAGTAAAGAAAAAATTTTAAGAGGGAATTAGAAAATAATATCTAAAATACAATCAAATATTATTTTTTAAATACAAATTTTATATACACTTCTAAATTTTACCTCTATTTTTATTTTAGATATTATTTTCGAATTCCCTCTTAAAATTTTTTTTTTACTACGTATTTATATCAATATTTAATAATTATCTTTCATGAATTATATTTTCAACTTGACACCATAGTTACTTCCCATATCTTGAGTTAACTTACCCTATGAGAAAAAAAAGCTGTTCACTTAAAAATAATGAAATGCTTTCAGTAACATATAAAATGTTGAAGGTGAAGGTTGTGCTTGTTATTTTTCCGCTGTTTCAATAATTTTAAAATAATTCTGAATGAAAATATTAACATATTTTCTTGATTTTTCAAATATATTTTTAGTATTTTACCTGCTTTATAATAAGTGTAAATTTATTTTAATATTTATTCTCAAAAAATAGCCACTTCGATTTAAAAAAATCCATATATAATAAGGTCGTGCTTTCAAGTTTCTCTCTGAGCATTGGGACTCGTTAGATATACTCGTTCTTTTTTTTTTACTTTTTACTAAGAATTTAAAAAAACCAATTGCAGAGCAAAAAAAATATAAGGAATTTTATATAGACTGTACATATGTGTAGGCTAATTTTCATTAAGTATAAAATGTATATCTGACAGAAATACAGGCCTGGACCCCAAGAGAGACCGACAGTTCACAGCTGACGAATTTACACGTATACTTATGAGATCTATAGAGGGGCCCTTTAAACATCACAATTCTTCCACAAGATCAACTTTTTTCAAATTTTTGATTAGAAAAAGTTAAACTTTAATCTTTTTATGCTTAACTAGTGTTTATATTCTAAAAGATTTGTCTTATTAAAAGTTGACTAAAACCTAAACATTTTTATACTAACATGAAATTTGGAGTTTTCTACACAACATATCAAAAATTCAAATTTCAACTCAAAATTTTAACTCTAATTTTTATATTTTTGAGTTTTTTCCACATTTTTTTGTACCGCTAGGTCAGACAACATATTTGAAAGAATTGAGGGCAAAAAATGATAATACTATGAATAAAAAAAATTTGGTGCTATATTTTTTAGTCTAGAATACACGACTTAAAATAAATTAATAAAAATTTTTCTAGATTTTAATTTAAGTTTGTAATTATTTGATTTTAAGTCTTATAATTATGAAAGTGCTTTTAAAATTTTATAATCATTATAAAAGATGATTTAAAAATAAACAAATTAAAAATATTTTAAAGAAACTTGTATGAGTTTTAAAGTTTCTGATGCGGTAGTTTAGTTAAATCACTGAATTAGCCTTACTAACAATGTGAAAATATTTCCTAATAAAACTAAAATCACATACATACCTAAAAAGAATTATATAGACTTTTAATATAAAAAGAATTAACATATGCAATAATTTTTGTGAATTATAAAGCATATAATTTTAATTAATATAGTATACACATGAAAAATATATACAGTCAAACTTCTCTATCACGTACTCTCTATAAGACGAACTGCTCTTTAATACGAGCTATTTATGTTTACTTAGCAGTTTGAAATATGTTTTCATATTATTTTAGTCTCTCTAGCTCGAAAATCTCTCTAATTCGAACTTTTCTCTATCTCGAACCGTTTTGTGTCATCTTGATGCACAAAGTTTCTTTATCTCGAAATAAACAATTTTTTTTTTCGAAATGAAAAAAAAAGAAAACAAACTTGCTATATTTATGTACGCGTGTGATTTTGCTATAGAGTAAAATAAAAGTTAATAAAAATAACTGTGAATTTTTTGTAACATGTATGTATAATGAAAGTTAACTGTCATTTTATATCAATTTTTTTTAGTTTTGAGAGGTTTTGAATTCTTAATTAAAAATGCCATTTGGATGAATTTGAAACATTTTTCGAGCAAAAATTGATGAAACAAAAACATTAAACAAAAATATTAGATTTTTTCTCTACAAATAAAAATACCTAATATCTACATACTGCATTATAATAATCATATTAATGTGAAACATTTAAACTAAATACGTAAATACTACATTATTAAAAACGACACATGTAAAAAACATATAATGTAAATATCTATTCTATTTATCATTGGATTACAATTGTTTTTTTATTTTTTTTATGATTAATAGCATATCTTAATTAAATATATGAGCAAAAACCAGTATTTTTTGTATTATTTATTGAGAGTCTCTCTATCTCGAACTTTTTTCCGATATTTAGAGAGTTCGAGATATAGAAGTTCCACTGTAGATGTATACATATATGCAGTGGTCGAAGTGGGATACTCAAAGTGGTGGGATGGTAAAAAAAAAAATAAAACGAGAAAAAAAATAGAGTTGACCTTGTCAACTCTGTGATACCCGTACGAATTTGTTATCCTATGTGCGAATAACTAATGTGCCATAACTAACTATGGGGCAGACTATGACTTTAAGTTGCCGTATTACCATATTAATTTATGCAAAATTTCAGTACTATGTGTTATTCAAAATACTGGTTGTGGCAAACTACTATTGATGTTGTATGGCAGCTACCAGAAAGAGCCAAGAAATTTTAGCGAATTTTATCAAACACATCGGCCCTACTAATATATTCACTTGTGTGAAATCTCAATATCACAGCTTTTATAGTTTCTGAGATATAGTCAAATAACTTTTGAAGTTGTATGGCAGGTACCAGAAGGAGCCAAGTAATTTCAACGACTTTTATGAGACACATTGGCCCTACTAATATATTCGTTTGTGTGAAATTTCAATACCATAGCTTTAATAGTTTCTGAGATATAGCCAAATAACTTTTGAAGTTGTATGGCAGGTACCAGAAGGAGCCAAGTAATTTCAACGACTTTTATGTGACACATTGGCCCTACTAATAAATTCGTTTGTATGAAATTTCAATACCATAGCTTTAATAGTTTCTGAAATATAGCCAAATAATTTTTGAAGTTGTATGGCAGGTACCAGAAGGAGCCAAGTAATTTCAACGACTTTTATGTGACACATTGGCCCTACTAATATTTTCGTTTGTGTGAAATTTCAATACCATAACTTTTATAGTTTCTGAGATATAGCCAAATAAATTTTGAAGTTGTATGGCAGCTACCCGAACCGGTACCCCGATCATGTCCAATTTAAATAGGGTTCTGGCACTTACTACAATAAATCATTTGTGAAAATTTGGTGAACTTAGCTCAATTAGTTTTTGAGTTATCGTTCGGACGGACGGACGGACGGACGGACGGACGGACGGACGGACGGACAGACAAAGCTAAATCAACTCAGAATTTGACGCTGATCAAAAACATACACTTGAGTCTATATCTAACACCGTTATTTCTTAGCGTTACAAACGGTAAGGCAAATTTAGTATACCCTTCGAACATACGTTCGTACGGGTATAAAAAGTATTATTTTAGTTATTTTTTAAAAAAATAACTAAACAAAATTTACCAAACTTTGGAAGTAAACTAACGAGAATATTTATATTCAAAATTAAATCAACTAAAAATTGAATCAAAAACTGTGTAAATTGTTACCAAAGAAATGCATAGTACTATGTAATAACGAAAATCTCATTCATAGAAAAAAATTATACGTTACTATTTGAAATTGGTTTTATTTAAAATTACATATATTTAAGTTATTTAAGTTAAAAAAATTTTTAAAATTCATTAGAAAATATTCTTAAATTTTAAAAAGCATGTTCCGGAACGCATTTTTCTCTCCTATTAAGTAGTGGGATGGATTTCCAATTATTTAAAAGTACTGGGATGGCATCCCACTCCATCCCGTCTCACTTCGAGCACTGCATATATGATTATAATAAGAAACATGCATTTTGGGAGACATATCATACAAAATTAGCAAATTCGTTAATATCAAATGCACATCTTCTCAAATATGAGAAAATGCAAAAAATTGCATTATTTTTTTTTTCTTGTAGTATAGCATTTATTGAAATCTTGAAAAAATGAACAGAACCTGGAAGGTTTTTTTTAAATCAATTTTTTAATAACACAAAATTTTAAGAATGTAAGCACTAGTAAAGTAGAAAAAGATTGAAATTTAACTTTTTCTAATAAAAAATTTGAAAAAATCTTGTGGGAAATTTATGATGTTAAAAAGGGCCGTCTATAGATCTCATAAGAATACGTATAAATTGGTCAGCTGTGAACTGCCACTCTCTCTTAGGATCCAGGCCCATATTTTTGTTAGCCGTGGTTGAAACAATAAATTACTTTTTCTTTTATTTTTAATGAAAAAGAAATCTAAGCTTTTCGTTGATATTTTACTGAAAAGCAGCTTTGATTGACGTACGTGTGTGTATGTATGTAGGTAGAGTTTGTGCATAAAACGAATACCAAGGAAAAATGTATAGAATTAATCAATGAAATGTGATACAATTCACATTAGGTCTGTTTGATAAAACTTGAGAAAAATTTAAAAAGAAAAATAATCACGAAATTTCTCTCAAGAAAAAAAATTCTCAATTAAAAAAAAATAAACCAGACGGAAAACTTAAAAACTTAAAAACTTTATGAATATGTGATAAACGTCAAATTTCAAAGTATTTATCAAACATACATAAATATTTTTTGGTTATATCAAAAACCGAAAATTTTGATTTTGGATATAATAGTGGGAAACTTAGAAAAAACCATTTGTAAATCCACTTTGTTTATTTTATTTCACTGAAAAATTTTGAAAAAAATGTTTTTGTAGATGAAAATTTTTTTTCAAAAATAACCAAGAAAAACATACATACATATGTATGTATGTACAATGTATGTTTCGACAGCTGTAAGATTTTAAAACACTAAATTTTACTTTACAAAATTTGAAAAAACTTTAAATATTGAGAAAATGCAAATGTCATCATTTTCTCTTATTTTTGTTCAAAATTATTATTGCAAACACTTTGCATGCAAAAATTTTATAAAGTTTTTTGTACGCAAAGTATAATATTTTTGTATTATAATATTATTTGACTTCTGAAATCATTTCCTGCCCTTGAAGGCCTAAAACTATATTTTTTGCAGTTACAATGCTCATGTCATTTCTAGTTGCTATGTTGGCACTTCCAATATGTGGTGAAATAACTATATTTGGCAGAGTCAATATTGGATCATCTAGCTGAAGAGGTTCGGGTGTTGTAACATCTAACCCAGCAGCGTAAATATTCCCGTTTTTCAGAGCATTATATAAATCTTCCTGGTCAACAACGCCTCCTCTCGATGAATTTATGAATACAACACTTTTCTTCATATTTGTAAAAACATTTTTGTTGAAGATGTTTCTAGTTTCGTCATTAAGAGGACAGCAAGCTATTACGATATCTGAACTAGTTACGAGAACCTTAAACTCTACATATTTAGCTCCAATTTCTTCGGCGACCTCTTTTTCTGTGCGACTTGTATAAAGGATTTGTTTAGGTTTAAAAGGAACACAACGCTTCGCCACTTCTTGACCAATCCTACCAAAGCCAAAAATTCCGATAACAGAATCCTTTAAACCAGGGCCACACATCCACTTCGGTGACCATGAACTCCAGCCCCCTGTGTAAACTTGTTTATTGGCTTCAATTAAACGGCGTGTCGTTGCTAATAGTAGAGCCATTGTTAGCTCGGCTGTGGCATCTGTAAGAACATCAGGGGTATATCCAACTCTGATTCCCCGTTTTTGACATTCCTTTAAGTTAATATGATCACACCCAACAGAAAATGTTCCTATAACTTTCAAATATGGTCCAGCAGCTTCTAATACTTCTGCATCAATTTTATTAGCCGAATAACAAAATATTGCTTGTTTACCGACAACGTGCTTCAAAAGTTCTTCTTTTGGAATAACCGAAGAATTATTCCAAGTGGTTATTAAACACCTTGAAAATGAAAAATAAAACTAATATTCAAAAAAATGTTATGTAGGTTTTACTTTTCTTTTAAAATATTTATGCCAACTTCAGGGAAATCTGGTCTAGTCACGAAAACGTTTGGTTTCGAATTGTCAAGGTTCATTTTGAAATTAATTTATATCCGTTTGCTTTAAAGTACCTTTCCAATTTAATAAAATTTATTATGTGAATATATTAGTAGAGAATTTCAAACTACATTTACGTAACATAATGTTTTCTCACTATTATTTTAGAGATAAAAAATAAGCTTGCGTATGTATGTATGTATTTATTTACACATGGATGCATATGCATACACACTTCTAAATTTGAAGTAGCTTTCAACTTCAATTACAGTTGATTTTTTCTTACAGTTTCCAATAAAAAACAACTTTATTTGTAATCTAATTTTTATTCCTAATCTTATTTAAAATAAATACTTTTATATCAGTCAAGAGTTTTTAAATAAAACTGTCATGCAAAAAAAAATTCCACATCCATAAATTTAAGAATTTGATTAACGTTCTTAAGCCATACTATGGTTATTGTTTACATCATTATTATTATCTAACATGATTATACGAATGTAAAGTAAAGTTTACTGCCATACGCCAGCGTAATTGCCAATCAAAGTAGCAGGAAGCGGACCCCCCGCAGCAAATATTCTCATTCCTGTACTATCATAACAGTGAGTATATATCGCTGGTACATATTTTACTTGTTGAAAACCATCCATTTCTTCTTCGGGGTACTAAGTAAATTATGATTATAATATTATTAATGCAATAACAGGCGATTATTCTAGTTGATTGTCTTACCACTATGCCCCTACTAGCTTTTAGAACTACCGTTCTGGAAGCGTTAACACAACTTTCTAAATATTTTCCAGCACGAATGTCATAAAACATTAACATTCCTAAACCAGTTCCAACAGTTAAAATATTTCCTTCGAAACTTGTTGAACGTATACCACAACCACTATAGCGCGAAGTTATTTTTTTAACAGCTTGTAAAGTTCTGGCATCCAGTAAAATAGTGTAAGAACGGCAGCCAACAGCATATAGTCCATCTTGATGGTAAGCAATGCTGACATTATCTTGACAATTAGGTAACTTTCTTGATAGTTTTTGTTTAAAACTTTCGGCATTAAAAATGTGAATGTATCCGTTTAACGAAAGTGCAGCAATTTCCTTGAAATCTGGATTAAAGCATAGTGAACGAATCTTGAAAGTTTTTTTGATTAATAAAATACAATAAATTGAAAAATTTATAATATACTCGTTGTGCGGCACGACAGTCCTTGATACAAACTGGGTTAATAGTAGCAAATGTGGGACAAGCTTCTTCTCCTCCATCGGGAAATTCCATTAAATCCTCATTTATGCGCCATAAGGACATTTTAGAATCTTTTGATCCTGATACCAAAAATTGATCATCCAACCAACACATTCCCATTATTAAATCTCTGTGACCGTTTTCTCCGACACAAACTGGATCTAAAGTTGGTAGTCGATATACTGCAATGTCAGAAGAATTTCTTGCACCTGTCGCTAAAAATGTTCTACTTGGGTTGATTTCTATTGCATGAAGACCTCCTTGATTTTCAGGGTGATTAAATCTATTATTAGATAAAGTTGGAATAGCATCAACCCTTCTCATATTGACATCATAAACTAATAACTACGTCAAATATAAAATGTATATTCCATTATTAAATAATAAATAATTAACTATTAATTATCATACCTTATTACATTTGGTTCCGAAAACAATTTGCCTACTGCTCAGCCATTGTGAACAAAATACCTTATTAAGATATCCCAAGGAGATTGGAGTTTCACGTAACATGTCATGCGTAAGTATATAACGACTCGCATAGTCCATACTTATAGTTCTTTCCTTGAATTACCAAAATTAGCTCGAATGTAAATTTAAGGAAATATTTGGCAAAATAAGAAATTACTTGCCTCTTTTAAGTTCGATTCCCGACTTCTTAAAAAATCATCAAAATTGTACGAGGTACTAAGTATTTCTTTCTGTTCAGTTAAAGTTTCCTCTTCACTTTCTGAATCGTCATATGTAACAAAGTCATCCGGTTTATCTGGTTTCCTACGTCTTTCTTGTCTGTATCAGACATATAAAAGGATAATGAATATTCCATAGGTTAAATTATATTTCTCACCTTAGAAGTCGAGCTTTCGCTCGTCTTTCTTCTAGCCGAATTGTGTTATGACATGGCGGGTATCTAGCTACAATGCTGAATAAATTTAAATGGTAGCCATTCAATGAAAACCGAAACACAATAATTAAAAATTTTTATACCTTTTTTTAACAGTTTTGACTAAATAGTTCATACTCATATTGTCTTTTTCTACCTACATTTAATATTGAATTCTTTTTTAAATATTGTTCTATAACTAAGTTATTTACAAACTCATCATCTATAATATATTTTTGTAACATAAAGCATTTAGTATATTGCACTTAAATGAAGAATAATAAAATAAGCATAAAAATCGTTTGAAATATTTATTAAATCTAAATATCTTTATTATCAAAAATATTTTCTATGTAACTGTCAACATATACATATTAATATAAGTCAATGTCAATATTTTAATAACTTTTAGAAGCGTTCAGAACTATTATTTGTTTTGTCAAAATAAGCGACTTGCCATGTTGTTTCACGTAATTACCGAGCGTTTTTCTAGGCAAATTAATGGAAAAAATTTAAGAAATTCTTTTTTTCTAAATTGTAGACGAACCTAACAATTTATTTTTATTTATTTTATTTTTGGTGACTTGTACAAAGCGATACACCCCTTACGTGATGTGCCTCCAGTTTCGACAAGATCGAGTGGCTTTCTTCTTTTCAATCTCTTGATTGGTTGTATTCAGTTATCAAGCTAAGAAATTAATACATACATACATGTACACATGCTAATAATAGTGTCAGACAATTACGGTGGCTTCCATCAAGCATTAAACATCTCGCCAAAAAGCACAATAAACTTTATATGGTCGTCAATACCAACAGTCAGTTTACAGTTTAAGTGAAGGGAAAGTAAAGTGTGAAAAATTAGGGTTCCTATATCGCTTTCTTTCCCAACAAAAAAATTTTAGGTATATACGTTATGTAGTGTTTACTAACGAATTAGAAATACTAAAGGAAAGAGCATTTTTGCTTCTATCTCGCTTTCACTCCCTAAAAAATTGCATTGTCAAAAAAAAATAGTGACCCCAAAAACTTCAGGTAAGTCTCTTTATTTGCTCCGATCATTGCCAAACTGAAATTAACATTAAATGCCAAATGTTGTTGTTTTTTCTTTCTTAGAAAACTATGCGCCGCTATATAAAAAATAAAAAAAGAAGATTTAATTATTTTATTGTCGAACTGCCATTTGCTTTTATCAGTGAGAAATATCAGTGAATTCGTTTCCTTCGTAGCTGACAGGTTCTTTATATAATTTTCATATGTTGCCGATTTAAATTATTGGATTTTTCTTTTAAGCACCTGAGAAAGTCTGTTTAAAACAATTTTGTCATCAGGGTGACCTGAACGTTGCCATCTACGTCTGGTTCTTCTCTTTTCACCTATTAAATCCGTTATTTCTTTGGGATAGCTATTTGTTTTCGGTTTGTACTTTGACATCTTTGTATTGTTCCATGGAGCTTTTTGTATGATTTCAATAAATTCTTCTAACTTAAAATCTAACGGTTCTCTTGATTGTATATTAATATTTACCTCAATATTGTTTATTATTTCGCATATAAAGCTCGGTCAATATGTAATGCTGCTTGTCAAAGTGGTTTTATATAATGTTTTAGTTACTTTTTCATTTAGTTTTAATATGACTTAGTTATAATATGATAGCAGAATGATCTGAATTAAAATCATAATCATCTTCAAGGCTCAGAAAGTTTTCTGATATTTTTTTAGTTATAAAAAAATCTGTGATGTCAGGAATCTTGTAAGTGTCAGTAGGTCAATAAGTAGGGGTGCCAGTGGAGTGATTCAACAACTTAGTTCTTGAATAGCTCTTTTCTTAGATCTTTTCCTCTAGTTAAGGTGATTTTAGAACCATAATCTGTATGTTTAGCATTATAGTTACGTCCTATTAGATACCTATGTCCATGTTTGTACAGGAGATCTTCAAAAGTATTTTTCTTAATGCTGCAATTTGGTGGACAGTATACAGCACCAACACTAAAGTCCTGCTTAGTAGACTTAATTTTTGTCGCAATTAGCTGAATTTCAGCTGTTTCTATCTTGAATTCTTCATTATGTTCCATACTTTCTTTAATTAGTATTGCACTACCTCCTCTCGGCTGAGTGCTGGAATGTACCCCTTTATAGCATTTGTGCTGAAGAAAGCCATATGTATGTTTTTTGTTTTGTTTTGAAAATACGAAAAATAAATTATGGGATTCAAAGACTAATATAATTCTTAAACTTAAATACGCATCGCCGAGGAATAATAACAGCCTGATTGTGTTTCTCCCTTTTTTATTCACTTTCAAATCAGAATTATCCGTTTTTAAGCACTTAGCTTATTAGCTTTATTCCGCCCGTCCGTGGATATGTATAAAAAACCCTAAAAATGGTATTTTTTAAACATTTATTACAGCGAAACCGTAAGCATTTCTCAAATTTTGAGAAATATAGTGGTTGCCGTTAAAATTTACCGTTATATGTTTTTTTTTCTTCAAATTTTTTATTTCGTTTTATTTCCTAGCAACTTTTAGACATTAATAAACACTTCATTTCGTTAGAAGAAAATTTTTTCCACCTCCACGCCCTCTCAAGTTATCGAACCTCGAAATTTGTAAAATTTGAATTTTACAAATTTCGAAGCACCTAATATTTGCGAAACCTCAAGCTTTTTAAAATTTTTATAAATGCAGAAAGCTAACGGTAGATTTCATGCCATTAAAACTATAATTATTTTTCTTAGCTCACGCAATCAACCCTTAAATTTGTTTTCTTTTGATTTCTTTAAATTTATTTTTGCTTTATTTTAAAAACTGTGTAAATCGCTCATCCGACATATATGCAATCCCTAATGAAATAGTTTCGTATATGAATAAAAGTAATTTAAATAATGTAGTAGGTATACATAGACTGTTTTTAGAAGCAGTATTTACACTTGTTGAAGGGAAAACTGCTACAATACAAACCATTAGTTTGATCCAACTTTATTCCAATGGATATTTAATTTTTCCAATAAGATTGCTCATTCTTTCAATTAGATTTTTTCATTTTTTCTTAAATTATCGACTGAACATCTCGCTTTCAAAAACAAAGTGAATAAATTTTGCAAACATTTTAGCAAAAAAAAGAGATAATACCGAATTACAATACCGAACAATTTTTCTCACTGAAAATTACATTATTCAAATATATGATTGTAGATTGTAAAACTCTAGATGGCTGTCGAAATAACGGAAAGAATATCTCCATGTTTAGGAAAATTTTTACCATATCAAGGGCATATAAATACAACGGCAGTTATTATTAAAAGTTATTATTATATTACGGCGTATATATGTATGCAAAAAATTCTAACTCTGTATTTTAGAGGAGGATAGGTAGGATTTTTTGAATAATTTTGCTAAAAAATGTAAAACAAAACGGTAATGAAAAACAGTAGAGGAAAAGCTAATTTTTAAAAGGCTATAGCTTTGATGTACCGAATTTTATTTTTGTGTCTGAAATTTGCTTTTTTATAAGTGAATGAAATAGAAATGAATGCAACTTTTTTTTGCTAAACTATAATTTTTTTTTAAACGACAAATAATGATTATTCTGTGGGTAGAGTAGCATATTTTGTGAGTATACTTCTGACTCTATGTGCGAACATTTCAATGTATTAACAGCTTAACATAAATTAAGACTTTTTGAATTTAACGGATTTGTTTGATTTATCAGTCTCCATAATAAGTAAGCTATCTAGAATTGCATATAACACATGTTCAGATCACATTTTCTTTTGAAACCTTTTTTTCTTTTAGATGAGAAGAAACCTTTTGATGTTCTTGATCTGGTGTCGTTTTAAAAATGATTCCGATAGAAAAATTGAAAATAATAATTTCATTGAAAAATTTAAAATTGATTTTAGAAATTTGTTTGAAATCTAAATTTTAGAATGATATCTACTTAGTAATAAATGTATCTAGTGATATGAAAAAATCAAACACCAAGTTTTTTTTTGGAATTTAAAGCAGAAATGAATATAATATTCTCAGTAAAAAGCTGAATAAACAAATTAATTTAAATAGAAATAATTAGTATATAAAAACATGTTTAGTAAGAATATGGGGAATGCTAGAAGAGAATTAAATTATGTGAGTGAGGTATTAAATAAAAGTAATAAAAGAACTGATGTTTTGTGGTTTAAATATTAGGTCTGTCTGGTATAAGAAAGTTTTAAAAAACTTTATAAAATTTTTGCATACAAAGTGTTTGGAACAATAGTTTTTGAACAAAATTGAGAGAAAATGATGACATTATCATTTTTTTAATGTTTAAAGTTTTTTTAAGTTTTGTAAAGTAAAATTTGGTGTTTTAAAAACTTTTAAAGCCTTACAGCTGTCGAAACATATATTTTTCTTTATTATGTCCGAAGGTTTTATTTTTAAAAAAAAAATTTTCATCAACAATAACTTTTTTTTCAAAATTTTTCAATTGGAAATAAAATAAAATAACCAAAAAGGGTTCACAAATGGTTTTTTCCAAGTTCCAGTCAAAAAGTTTGGTACGAACTATTAGGGCGATCTATTTCGGTTTATTTTAATCTAAGATTCAGTATGGTTCTAAAATTCCATATTCAAAAATAAGTGTGTAATAATCAATTTACCTTTGTTTGGAATTTATTTTATTTTGGATTATCGGTCTTTGTATTGCTATAAGGTTTTAAAAATATTTTTTATAAGATCGGGATATCTAGATTGATGTCTACCACCGGACATGAAGGGTTTATCTATGGATCAAATAATACATGGATAGCCAGCGCTAATATATTTCTTAATAAATAAAATGAAGCTAACATAAACTACACATTAGAAAAAATCAAGGCCTGGACCCTCCTTTTTTGTGAAGGTATTTGTTAAAATTGCAAGGGTATTTTTGGTCAAATGACATTTCTGAAGAATCATTTTTTTGAAAAATGATGAGTTTTGCTTATTTTCATTTTGTATACGAACAATTAACTAAGACCACAAAATTTTTATACTAAAATGAAATTTGGAGTTTTCTGAGCAACATATCAAATTTCAACTCCAAATTTTAACTATAATTTTGACTAAATATATTTTCGAGTTTTTTTCTGCAATTTTTTTGTATAGCCATGTGAAATTGAAAGTAAAAAATTATAATACACTGAATAAAAAAAAATTGGTGCTATATTTTTTAATCTAGAATATAAGATTTTTCCACATCGATCTCCTTTCAAGTTATTGCTTCTCGAAATTTGCTAAATTTGGCAATAATTATATCAACAAATTTAGGGAATTATGTATCTTAACTAATGCATTAACCATCCGATTTCTTCACTA